TCTCCCTGTAATCATGCACAAGCGTACGGACTGTGTGTGAGTGTGTGTATGTGTGGATATGTTCTCACTCTCTCCCTGTAATCATGCACAAGCGTACGGACTGTGTGTGAGTGTGTGCAAGTGTGTATGTGTGGGTATGTTCTCACTCTCTCCCTGTAATCATGCACAAGCGTACGGACTGTGTGTGAGTGTGTGCAAGTGTGTATGTGTGGGTATGTTCTCACTCTCTCCCTGTAATCATGCGTACAGACTTTACATGTGATTGTGTATGGGGTGTGTTTCTCTCTCTCTATTTTTGCATATATAGACTCTGCGTGTGTGTGCTTGGACTCCCTCTCTCTCTCTCTCTTTTTCTGCCTCTCTTTCTACACACACTCACTCCAACATCTGTAAAGGCGCCATCGAGTCAGCTGAGTCAAAGTCCAGTGTGTGTGGCTGGTTGATGAATAGCTTCACGTTCTTTGGGCCGTTTTCTGAAACACACAGATATTTATGATAACAATATCATTATTGATGAAATAGTAACGTTGACATCAATGATCGTAATAAATAATAGCATTGAGAATTACAACAATACACAATATCAAGTAATAACAACAATAATAATAATAACATTTGAAATGAGGAGGGGGTAGAGGAGGAGCAGGAGAAGAAGAAGAAGAAGAAGAAGAAAAAGAAGAAGAAGAAGAAGAAGAAAAAGAAGAAGAAACAACAACAAGAAATCTTTGAGTTTGAGCAAAGAGAAGCACATCGACACAACAACGGTCACTCAGTGCTGGGGAAAAAGTCAGACAGACAGACAGACAGACAGACAGACAGACAGACAGACAGACAGACAGACAGACAGACAGACAGACAAGAACAGCAGAGGGAAAGTAAAGAAGTGGGATCTACCAGCGACACCCTCCAACCACCTGCATGAAAAATTCTGCGGGAAAACCGCAATGTTAAACCAAACAACTCACCTTTTGAGCAATGCATCTGCAAGGAATGGAGCTTGACAGCTTGGCTGAAGCCTAGATTGATCATCAGCTGAAAAAAACAACAGAAAGTGAGTGCGGGTGGGGAGAGGAAGAGATGTTATTTAAAATATAAATAAAACAACCAAAACACAGACAATTCCTCCATTTTAAGCTTGAAAGGGCTGTAAAAAACATACACAGCAGCAGGGAATGAACACTGACAACTTGGCTAAAGCCTACATTGATCATCAACTGTAAAAGTAATAATAATAATAAATATTCCTATATATAGGAAAATAGACGAATAAAAACCCTACGCCCCGGCGAAAAAATATATTTAAGTTTAGCTCCAGTTAGAGTTTTACACCACTTGCAACACAATTAAGTCATATAAGTGTCCACGATTAGAAGTGTTACTAGAAAGTGACATACATAAAAAGAAGAAAGAAAAAAAAGAGAGATAAGGACGTTATATTTTGATCAGAAAGAAGGAGATAAACCACACCAGAGTACCTACCAACCACCCACAGACAGACAGACAAACATTCAAACAAACAGGTATGATGAAGTAACACCAAAATCTGAGATACAGCGAGCGCCCCCCCCCCCCCCCCAAATGAATTTTAAAAAACAAACAAATAAAACAAGCCAGACAAACGTACTTGTTCATCGCAATCCGACTCGAGATAGCCTCCCTTTGGGTCCAGGGCGTGCTCTAGCGTGTGGTCGTCGGCCTCGTTGAGACACTCGCTCTCCGCTTTGTTGATGAGAGAGGTCAACTCCATCTGTACAACACACCACAACAACAAAATGTAGTTTGTTTTTTGTAGAGGTTTTTCGTTTTAGTAAGTTACGGCACTCACAACACAATAAGGTCATAGAAGTGCCGAAGAAGATTAGAGGTGTTACAAGAGAGTAACAAACACAAAAAAGAAAGAGGGGAGATCAGGACGATAGATGTTTGATAGGAAAGAAGGAGCAAACCGCACCACAGCACCCGCCAACAACCACCAACGAAGAGGTTTTATGGCGTCCGCAACTACGTAGGGTCATATGAGCGCCAAGGGGTGGATGTCAACAGTGAAGTCCCTACAGGGAATCAGGCTTACTCTGCTCACCTCTCTAGCCTCAACAGCACAAAGTCTGCTTCGACTATCAAGGCACCCTGGAAAAAGAATCTAGAGTAGTTTTTAGTCAATAAACAGAAATGAAGCTAAAAACTACTCAAGATTCCCCCTCCCTACTCGACTTTTTCTACAATGAGGATGATCGTGAAGATGATGATGATGATGAAGATCTAAAAAATAACCAGTGGCACCTTCGGGCCTGTATCGCGTGCACTTACATGACCTTTGACAGGCGAGTCCCCGTCCTCCCCCTCCCCTTCTGAGTACCATTTCTTGATCTTCTCTTCCAGCATAGAGGCATCAGCGCCCCTCATCAGGTCAACCTGTCGCACCGAGGGCAGGGGGGGTGTGTGTGGGGGGGGGGGGTGTGGAGATTGGAAAGGGTGTTTGGGGGGGGGGGGAAAAAAAAAAAAATAGGATAATAGGGGGGGGGGGGGGGTGAGGTTGGGGGGAGAGAAGAAGATAAAACTACATATATATTCAAATGTTGTTACCACGACAGATAGAGTGTTACATAGAGAAGAGAAACACAACGGAATCACACAAAGAGATCAGCATCTGGCACAATAAGGTCCAATAAGTGCCAGAGATTAGATGTGTTACAAGGGAGTAACAAACAAAAAAAAAAAGGTGAAGAGATAAGGACGATAGAAGTTTGATAGGAAAGAAGGAGCAGACCACATCAGAGCACCTGCCAGCCACCTACATCATCAAAGACTTTAAGTAGTCATGCTATGCCCACGACAATATGTTGCAACTACTAACCTTGACCTTGTTCCGGTAGAAAATGAAGGTCGGCATGGCAGAGACACCTTCCCTCTGTGCGGTTTCCTGACATGAAATGAGAAAAAGAAAAACATATTTGATTCTATTTTTAGAAAACTCACATCCCTCCAATAAACAAGATAACGTCATATATAATGTCAGCAGTAGGACAATGGTGACCACATTCCACTACCAATAGAGAGATCATTGTAACCGTCTTAAGCCCAAATCGATATGATTTGGATCATTATAAGAGGCAAGATGCCCCAGCCTCGCCTGTCAGGGCCAACCCAGACAGACTTAGAGACATACAACATCCCACACAGACTTAGAGGCATACAACATCCCAGACAGACTTAGAGACATACAACATCCCAGACAGACTTAGAGGCATACAGCAACTCAGACAGACTTACAGGCATACAACAACCCACACAGATTTAGACTAGAGGCCTACAACATCCCAGACACACTTAGAGGCAAACAGTATCTGAGACAGACTTAGAGGCATACAACATGTGCCTACCTACATACACACACACACACACAAACAATACAACACGCACTACAGTACAGAGTGCAGCTCCTCTCTACCTGACACTGATCCACGTCGACCTTGAGAAACACGGCCTTGGGGTAGCGCGTGCTCATGTCTGCAAACGCGGGCGCTATCGCACGGCATGGACCGCACCTGCAGACAGAAACACATCAAACTGAAAATCAACCAATTCTTTTGTAAACTAAGCAAAAAGAAATCCAGCAATTTATCCATCCTTTTGGTGTTTTTAAAAAAAAAATAGAATTCCGCTTATTCTTGATCCCCACAGGAAATTGGATGCACAGTGTCAAGACAATCAAGACAAACATTGACAAAATAGCCAACACACAGCACTTTTAGTTTTATACCATGCATGATAGTGAAAGAGACTGGTGAATGCTGAATTATGATTTGTGATTGAAAACCTCTTCATCGATTTTTGCACTGGCGTGTTAGAATTTAAAAAATCAGTTGACCTATTTCTTTCATTTACACAGAATCAATGATATATATATAAAATATATAACGCACATTTCTGCCATTTCGGCATATCCTTCAGCAGGTTCGACGTTCAAACAAGATTTTACGAGATCCAATTCCACTACGATCACAATGCAAACCCGAACAGACTAAAAAAGACGATCATTGTCCTCACCAGGTGGCAAAGTAGTCCGCTACCACCAACTTGGTCCCGGCATTCGCCAGCTCACTGGCAAAGTCTGCGTCATTACTTACGTGGTGTACGTTGGCCATTATAACTTCTGCTTCTAACAAGACCTAGGGCTTCTCGTGGCAATCTGAGGAAAACAAACAGCAAGACGTGAAACTAATTTACACATAAATCTGTCATGCTCACGTCAATGATGAAAGACAAATTAATTGAAACAAAAAATTGGTAATTTCAATAATAAAGCACTTGTAAGGCAAGAAAGATAATTCTACACATCCTCAATAGGATACATAGAGTGATAATACAGTCGATTACTCATTTAATCATGACATAGAGGACAACAACCTGTTGCGGTAAAATAAACACCTCGTACAATGAAGAGTGTCCTTGCAACGACAAAAGCCACAAACTCAGAATCATCTCCTTCCAGTTGACAGGCAGCTTCTCATAATTTTTAAACAAGAGATACAGTAGATCTATCATGCAGTGAGACATGATGCAAAAAGAGAATTATAAGAGACTGAGAAATAGTTTCTTACATGGAATACATTGAGGTTTGCACTTTGACTTGATAAAATTACAGTGGAAACTTGTCCAAGACTACCACTCGTTGAGGAAAAAAGTGGCTGTCTAACAACAGTACAACAGTGTCATTACAATGAAAAAAATCATACAAGGGAGGAAATCTGAAATAGAAAGTGGCTGTTACTAGATCTAGATCCATCTAGACTCTAGTGTAGAGCAGACTGGACTATAGTTTCACAAACATAGATCTAGATCTAGCAGTGTCAACAAAGCCAAAGAAAATAGGCCTTGCCTTGGTTTGGCACAAATCGATTTACCACCAATTGACCACCGAACTGAGTTCCTACTCTCTTCTAGACCCAGTAGCTTAGTTTGAACTGTACTTTTGTAGCCTACAGTTTTGATTTTTAAAATCCAGATGAACTAAAACTACAGTTCAGTAGATAGATCTAATCTAGATCTAGAATCTAGATCTAGATTTAGATACTAATTTTAATTACGGGACAGTACACACAATAAATGAATAATACAATACAGTCAAGACCAAGTGCAACAAACCGACACATTCTGAGACAGAAACTGAAAATAACAAACCTGATATTCTTAAGTAAAGGGCTTGTTTTCACGGATGGTCATCAACAGGAAAAAATCAGAAACGTAAAGACATAAGACCTAAAACAGGGACGTGTGTTGTCACAACACAAGCAACTAACGCTTGGACTTGATGTGTGTACTGTGTTCAATGGACACTCCATGCATGAGACAGCACTTCCGTTAAGGGAAATTACTCTTGCTCCAAACGTCAGTCGTCAATTTTCCCTAATTTACCTTCTATTTATTACTTTATTATTTTTTAAATTTAAAGTAAGTTTATGCCTCTGCTTCTAAGTGGGACTAAATTGTTGGACTTTCTCCTGTACCAGCAGGAATAGGGGCATCTTCTTTGTTTCTTTATAGTATAGTTGCTTTCCGTCTCTTTGTCTGTCTGACCTCTCTCTCTC